ATGCCTTACCAGGCCTGACCATCGCGAACGCGGCACCTTTCTCGCGAATGCGTAGGCCAAGATTCCCAGGCCTAGTTTCCCTTATGCGAACGCGACCAGTCAATCACGAACGTAGAGCACAACTGTCCAAACCTTCATGAACGCGACTGCAAAGATAGGTGTTTCTTGCTTGATCATAAATGTGCTTGTCACTTAAAAATAATTTTTTTTGTTGCTAGCCCCTTTGAGCCTATAGACCTTTTCTTTGGCACCCACACTACAAGTCGTATCCCTATTTTGTTTTTAGTTTGAGATTGTTGAACCTTTACCTCCTAAGGCACTTAGTCGCTAGCTTTTGAGTGGAACCATGGAAGGGCCCGTAAGGTGCACTAAAGTTGTGAAACAAAAAACTGGTCACTAGCGGATGAACCTTAATGTATGGAGTGTGTGTAGAAAAAAAAAAGAGAAAAAGAAAAAAATTTGCAAAAATTTGCAAAAAAGAATGGTTCAAACAATGTAGAAAAACACACACCTCCTAATCTTACTAATTCGTGCTAGTGGGATTATAGAAGTGCTTAATTGAAAAAAGGGCTATGTTGTATATGGCTTGTGGCGAGTGAATTGGTTGAGAATAATATGTGCTCGATTTGTGAGTATAATATATTAAAGTGCTTAGGAGGGCGAGTCACTATTCCTAAAAGTATCATACCCGTCCCTTAGCCTACATTACAACCTTAAAGTCCTAATTGATCCTAGATTTGGCTAGCTTATATTAGTAGAGATGTACACTACGGGCAAGCTTATGGTATGACCACGGGATGCATATGCATTGTTTGTGAGAGTGAGCGAATTTTGTTCAATTGTGTGATGTCCTTAAATTATGTTCAAAGGCATACTTGAATGTGTGGACTATTCTATATTCACTCTTTTGTTTGTTGGTGAGGGAACATGATCTCTTGAAGGATTGGTAATGTTGTAAACTTCTCTTGATAGGTGAGTGCGCGAGTTGAAGGTGCTTAGTGGTAACGAGTCGGCTCTTGAGGTAGGGTGGTTACGGATAGGTTATTTGAATTGATTGAATTGAAATGGTTATACCTGGGCGTATTTGAAACGGGAAGAATGTGAAATTTGTATGTTCATGCTTGATTGCCGGTATCGATCATAGTCAAGGGTAGCGTGTATGGTTAAAAATTGAAGTACTCTACTCTAGTTGAGATATGTACGTAGTTGGGGTATAGTTGATAGTCCCATTGCTCGAGGACGAGTAAGAGTCTAAGTGTGGAGTGTTGATATTTAGCTTAAAGTATATATATATATATCGCCTCATATTTTACTCGTGTTTCGTGAATTTCGGATGTGAAATATATTGATTTATGTAATTCACGGTATTTTTATATGTAGGAATCATCTAGAAGCAATAGGGGGCGAAATGTGCGAGCTTAGAGCCAAAAAGAAGAAAAAGGTTGAAAATGGCCATTATAGTGCCACAGGCAGCGTGAGGCGCTACTTGTGGCGCAATTTACAGAAGCTTCAATTTTCCAGCGCCAGGGCTAGTGCCCCACGCTACCCTGGGCGCTGGTGACGGGAAACATCTCCAACTTTACCCGAGATAAGGTTATTTCAGCCCAAGACCTATCCAACGCATATAAAAGCAAGACTAAGCCTATTTTGGGAGGAGAGACGCCACTTTGAAGGAAAAATACACACGAGGAACATCCGAGAGCGAGGTTATCTCAGTTGTCTTAGCTTTTCTTAGTATTTTCAATCATTCAACACTTGTGAATTTGGTTTGATATTATCATAAGTGGCTAAAACCCATAGTTCTGGGGTTGTGATTTAGCCATGAATATTGTTGTTTAAAGTTGACTTAACCTTGATTACAATTCACCAATATATGACCGTTTCTTCAATTCTGTGATTAATTGCTTAATTGTCTAGCCAACAGTTAGGTTCTATTTACTATCTATGCTATGCTCGGGAAAGCCATGTTTAGATTAGAGAATAATTGAAGAGAATAATTCGGGAGAATACTATGAGAGAAATTGTTCGATTAATTAGCAACCGTGAGTAAATTGTATGAAAGGAAGAGTTAATTAGAACACAATAGGATTGGTGAATTGATCACAACCCTGGAATATTTGTCTCTACTGAATATACAGCAACCATTTGCTTCTTGCTAAATTAGTTACTTGTTAGAATTATTACTTAGTATAATCACTCCTTTGAACTCTAATTGATTTGACTGAATAATAATCTTGGTGAAACTAGTGGGTAGTTAACACAAGTCTCTGTGGGTTCGATACTCGACTTATCATTTTATTACTTGTACGACTTGCGTGTGTATTTGGGAGCAACACTAGCAAATGGAGTTCAAGTAATTCAAATATTACATGATAAAATCCTGAGTCTACCCGGACATAAACATGCTTTAGCTACGTACGGACTCTCGTCACCTCGTGCGTACGTAGCACCCGCAACTAGTAGCACATAACAATTACATTACCTAGAGGGGATGGGGTAGTTTCTCCCTCACAAGGTTAGACGGGAGACTTACCTCGCTCCGAAGTTTCATAACCGGCTCCAATGCCTCTCTAACTCCTCGGCTCAAAGCCAACGATCCGAAAGTAGTTAAACAACGTGCAAATCAATTAAAATACACTCAAATGCGCATAATTTAATAATTTGTAATAATTCTCAACTCCGCTCAAAAAGTCAACAAAGTCAACCCTCTGGCCCACGTGCGCGGATTCCGAAAATTTTCGATGAACATTACCCATGACACCACGAACTCAAATATATAACTTATTCCTAATTCCATGTCCAATTTCGTGGTCAAAATCCAAGAATACCAAATTTTAGGGTTTTCTTCAAAATCACACAATTTTCACCAATTTTCATGTCAAATCCATGCATAATTCATGTATTTAACTCACAATGTGAAGAAATCACTTACCTAGTGGAGGATGACGAAAAAGCTCCTTAAAAAATCGCCCCAAGCTCATCTCTAATGGAAGATTTGAGATAAAATGCGCCAAAACCCGACTTTGCTCACTTATACACTGCCTAGATGACCTTCATCGCGAACGCAACACTGCCCTCGCCTTCACGAAGCTCAACAAACTCAGGACCATAAACTCTTCTTCGTGAACGCGGCAAGTCCTTCGCGTTCGCGAAGCACAACCTGCTTCAGCTCCAAAATCCTTCTTCGTGATCGCGAAGACAGGCTCGCGAACGCGATGCCTTACCAGGCCTGACCATCGCGAACGCGACACCATCCTCGCGATCGCGTAGGCCAAGACTCCCAAGCCCAGTTTACCTTAGGCGAACGTCAATCGCGAACGCGGAGCACAACTGCCCAAACCTTCGTGAACGCGACTGCCTTATCGCGAACGTGTTGAACAAAAAGGCCTGCAGTCCAAAACCTCCTTCGCGAACGCGTCTCTCCCTCCGCGTTCGCGAAGAACAAAATCAGCACCAGCAAACCAGCAACAATAATTCATCCAAACTTGGTCCAAAACCATCCCGGAACACACTCGAGGCACCCGGGACCCCGTCCAATCACACAAATAAGTCCCAAAACATGACATGAACCTGCTCGAGGCCTCAAATCACACCAAACAAAATCAAAACTACGAATTGATGATCGAAACCTTTTTTTTAAACTTTCAAACATTCAAACTTTGATGAACGCGTCCGATTCATACTTAAACATTCCGGAATGATGCCAAACTTTACGTACAAGTTATAAATCAAGATACGAACCTATTCCAAGGTTCGGAACCTCAAACAGACGTCGATAATACCAAAGTCCACTTCAAATCAAACATAGGAAATTCTTAAACTTTCAAAATGCCAACTTTCCATAATAAGCGCCGAAATGATCCCGGACCATCCGATACTCAACTCGGACATACGCCCAAGTCCGAAATTTTCATACGAACCTATTGGAACCTTCAAATCATGATTCCGAGGCCTTACTCAAAAGTCAAACCTTAGTCAACTCTTCCAACTTAGAGCTTCTGAATTTAGAATTTTCTATCCGAATCAACTCTGAACTTCTCGAAATTCGATTCCGACTACGTACACAAGTCATAAAATATGAAGTGAAGTTACTCAAGGTCTCAAACTACCGAACGACGCGCTAGAGCTCAAAACGACCGACCGGATCGTTACATATTTGGACTAATTTGTTTTGAATTAAAATATAATCCAAATGAATTTAAATTTATAAAATTTAAATGCGTACACTTTCATAAAAGGAGATATAACCATAGTCTCTTTAGCGACTTCATCCATCATCAAGGGGTCGTGAGCCTTTGTCTTTGTACTACACCCGTTTGATGCCCTTAGCTAATTGAAGTAGGAGGTGATGTTTTAATTTTTTTTCTCAAATTATTACAGCTAGTTACAGGATGATAAGTAAAACACCTTAATTTTTAACAATAAATTAGCATCTTCAAACAAAAAATTGACTTTTTTTTTGTTTTTCATTGGATGTTGATTATTTTTATTGAGATCTGATTAAATTTGAATTTGTATCTAGAACTCTCACATCAAGGGTATAATATTTTCTAATGAAGAGGATTTCATAGGCTAAAATAGTCAGAGATGAAGCTAGCGTTTGGATATAGATTTGATTGAAACTTGAAAAAAAATATTTTCGAATTTGTGTTGAAAAATATTTTTTGAAAATTGAAGTTGTGTTTGGACATGCATTTTATTTGAAGAAAAGTTAATGTTTTGTGAGTGGAATAACAATTTTCATCCAAAAATTGTCATTAACCAATTTTTGAAAACATTTAAATTTTCTCTCCTCAAAATATGATTATATTTCATAAACAAACAATATTTTCAATTTTTTTTTGAAAAAATGATTTTTTTTTTTGCACACTGTAAACTGGAATATAAGGTTTTTATTGTTTGACCGAGCCTCATTTGATGGACCCACACGTTTACAGACAAAACTCACCAGCGAATGTTCCACTCTCCAACATCTCATTGGTCCCACACGTTTATACAGCCAATCCCCCCATATGATCATCAAACTCCAAACCTTCTCTTTAGAGCTTAACTTCGATTTTTGTTCAATTACAATGGCGACTCTCTCTTCCACCTTAGCCCTCTACTTCTCCTTCACACTCCTCTGCTTCAACCTTATCGCAGCCTCTTTTTCCCCCATCGATCACTACCTCATAAACTGCGGGTCCCATGAACCTAAAACCGTTGACTCCGACCACCGCCACTTCACCGGCGACTCAACGATGTCGTTTCTTGCCTCCACTGAAACGATTTCATTCACTGACGCAAACCCAAGTTCTAAGTCTTCTCCAATTTACCACACCGCTCGTGTTTTCACGCGCCCCTCTAAGTACAAGTTCCTTATCAAGAACCCTGGTACTCACTTGGTACGTCTCCATTTCCGGCGATTAATTAGCAGTGGTCTTGATTTTAGTAATGCTAAATTTCATGTCTTGGCAAACGGGTTTGTGTTATTTAACAGTTTAAGTATGGAAATGGGTCAGGATCTTGAGATAATAAAGGATTATGTGATTGGGGTAGATTCAGATGTGCTTGTTATCAGCTTTGTGCCCATGGATAAGTCAAAATTTGCATTTGTAAATGGGATTGAGGTTATTTCTGCTCCTAATGATTTGATTGCTGATGTGGCTCAGTATGTAAGTTTTGATAAAAATGAGCAAATTCATGGACTATTGAAGAATGGGTTTGAAACTATGCAAAGGGTTAATGTTGGTGGTTGGAAAGTTACTCCTTTTAATGATTCATTGTGGAGAACTTGGATTGCTGATGATGAATATCTCAAGTCTAATGACGGGTCATCAAAGGTTCACTTTGGTGGCCGTATAAATTATCAAGATGGTGGGGCAAGTAGAGAGGTTGGTCCTGATAATGTTTATAATTCTGCTCGAGTTATTAGGAGTTCGGGTGATTCAGTCTCCAAGTTGAATATGACATGGACATTTCCGGTGATTGGAGGGTACAAGTACTTGGTTAGGATGCACTTCTGTGATATAGCTAGTGTTGCGCGTGGGATGCTATTTTTTAATGTGTATGTGAATGACAATTTGGCCTACGAAAACTTGGATCTTACGTCAGTTACGAATGGGATGCTGGCTTCTCCTTTCTATGCTGATGTTGTAGTTGATGGAGATAGTTCTGGTGTTTTGACATTGAGCGTTGGGCCATCGAATATGAGTCTGCCACGTGCTGTAGATGCCATTCTGAATGGGGTTGAGATCATGAAGATTAATAATTCTGTGGGTAGTTTTGATGGTGAGATTTGTGCTCATTCTGTCTTGAAGAGTTGGAAGAAGGGAAGTGGTAGCTTTTATCCTATGCTAGCTGCTGTCTTCTTGCTTCTGATAGCATTTGTGATTATGCATCGGAGAAAAGCTGGGGCTACTGACTCTGGGACCTGGTGGAGGTTACCCACCGAGATTCCTGAAGTTAATATGAATTACAGCAACCAACTGTCATCTAATAAGCTGTGATGATTCTGAAATAAGATTAAGAAGATATCTTAATTTTCACTACTTTGAAACCTTTAGGGTTGCCTTTAGCACGGAGTTCAGTTGTCTTGTACTGTAAGTATTTATATTTATGTAATTAAAAGCAAAATTACTGTTTTAACAGAATTTGTTTTTGATTTTCCACTATTTGATGTTTTCTGTGTGCATCTATATCTTATGTTTTATGATTTAACATTCAGAAAGTGAAGATTCTGAGGCTATTATCTTTGTAAACTTGTTGGCAAATTCATATTCAATTTATTGGTATTGTACTATTGTATGCTTCGAAAGCTTGAGTTGTTGAAAATTGGACATTCTCACTTTAATTATGACTCCTGTTTCATTATTGCATGCTGATGTCATACAGTTTTTACTATAAACATAGAACTGGTAGACGTTAGTGATTGAAAACTAAGATTATTAGATTGCGACTTCAGGACAAGCACTCATTGTTGAAGTTTTATGATGAATGCAACTCTAAATTCTAATTACTATCTAATCATAACTAGCAAGGTTGGTTATAGTAAGTCTCAGAAATACCTTAAGATGTTAGCTTGAGCCTGAGAGGACGATAGATGATATTTTTGATAGATCAGTAATTTCATCATTCTAATATAAAGATGGTGAAGGGTACTAGATGATACCTTGAAGCATCTAAAGTGTCGCTCCTAATCCTGCAAGGATGTGTTCGGTCTACCAGTGAAAATGCCAAGTGTTTGCTATTGAGCACCAACCAAAGTACTAATAAACCTGGTTCAATAATTCAGATCCTTGCAGCCCTTAAAATTGTTGCTCATTTCTTTGGTGTCGGAGGCAGCCTTTCTGATACACAAATTAGTCTATAGAAGACCATTTACATTCGTCTTATTTCTATTTGCCTCTGCAGTTTGCCTTCCACCTCTTATCATGAAATTGTCTCCTTTTCTCCCTTCTTTTTTTCCTCCACATATACCTGGCTTTGACTTGCTTTCATTTATGCTGTTTATGCATTGCAATTTCAGCATTTAACTAATAGCTCCTTTCACCAAATAAAAGGAGCTATTAGCATGCAAGATTCAGGATTCTGATTTTCATGGCAAAGCTATCGTCATCCATTTGGAATGTGTTCTCTTATGTTCTTTTTCTTTCTCTCCGCTCCGTTCGTTTTTTTTAAAACTAAATGTTGACGAACAACTTTCGACTTACAATGTGCTGGTATGCTTCTCATTAAGTGCCATTAGTGCGCAGCTGAAGGTTTTGATGGGGATCTTGATATTCACATTACAATTATATACTAAATGAACCCTCCAATGTTGTTCAGGAAAAAAAAAAAAAAAAGAAACA